AGCTCTCAAAGATGGCACTCATGTCTTTGCGCCAAGCTCGATCCACGGAGAGTTCGAACTCAAAATCTGAAGATTTCTAAATGCCCAAAAAATCGAAAAAAATCAGATCTTCGTCCAAATAATTTCTACGGACCTCCCACTCGCTCATATCAATACTATCGATATCTGATATCCATATGTGCGATTGCCGTATTTTTTCCTTGACTAGAAACTGAAAAAACGAAAATTTCCCTGATTTTCTCAAAGCAATGCTGAGCCGTTTCTGCAAGTGCAGTTCTATACTACAAGCCTAGATAAGTATAACTGTAGATTTTCAGCCCATTCCAAGCGGTAGTTTTCGAAAAATAACGATTTCGGATTTTTTCGTTTCAGTTTCAGTGCTAAAATCGACATTTCTCGAAAAGTACCGCTCGAAATAGGCTGAAAACCTACAGTTATGCTTACCTGGGCTTGTAGTATAAAACTACATATGCAAAAACGGCTCAGCATTGCTTTGAGAAAATCAGGAAAATTTTCGTTTTCTCAGTTTCTAGTCAAGGAAAAAATACGGCAATCGCACATATGGATATCAGTTATCGATAGTATTGATGTGAGCGAGTGGGAGGTCCGTAGAAATTATTTTGACGAAGATCTGATTTTTTTCGATTTTTTGGGCATTTGGAAATCTTTAGATTTTGAGTTCGAACTCTCCGTGGATCGAGCTTGGCGCAAATATATGAGTGTCATCTTGTAGAGCTTGCTTTGCTCTATCGAACAGTACCCCTTATTCTTTGTTGGGTTGAGTCTGGTTGCTTTGTTAAAGCAAGCAAATAAAAACGGACATTATTTTCTTGACAACCTAATAGTTATATGTTAGTCAGTAGAACACATTTTTACATTTTGTTAGGCTAGGGCATGTTTTACTGGAAAGTTACTAGTATGCTGGCCGTCGCTAACAGGGCTTCGTGTGCAATCTCACATTAAGTTACAAATGACTCGAGGTTACACATCTAAAAAGGCCACTTCGACTGAACACGCTTCCTCTGTAAGTTGGCTTAACTTGTTACTTTCGTATGATTGCGAATGCATATGCACGGTTCGCCTTTGTATAAAAACAGAAGTCGAAACAAAAATAAATAAATCAAATTAAAACTAATGCTTGGAAGGCTTCGGATCATTGATAAGTAAATAAAATCAATGCATGCGCAGGAGAGACGACGTCGCAAGGTAGAAAGTTGACAGGGCTATCTACACTAAAAGGGCATTTTCAATAAAATCCGCTTTAAGATCTTCGATCCGATTACGGGTGAATGTGTTGCGATTTTTCATGTACCATCATTGATTCGTATTGTATTTAACGAGGTACAATGAACAGTCAAAAATTGGAGAACCAATGTGAATGAACAATCATTCTCCTCATCTGTTTCTTTTATCTGATTGTATTTCAATCACTGGTAAAATGATAAGCATGATTGACTTACAGTGGAGGCGGGATGCGGACTTTTCCTGATCATAAAGCTAATCTTGTTGAACCTCCACCTTACAACATTGCATACTTCTCGCTAACGAAAACAGCCATGCTTGGAGTTGGCAAAACTCCACCTCCACACAAATCTGGGAGCCGATGATAGAAAGAATTGCAGGCGAGCTCAGCCTACAAAATAATTATGCTTCATCGCTGCCTACAGCCGATTCTGTCCACGTTCACCATCAGGCAGTCGATCTTTCAGCAAAATACCAGCTCAATCCAAGAAGTTGCATCCGAATACCAGCCTTTCGCCGAAGCCAAAGCCGAAAGCCTTCACAACAAAGATTCTCAACCGATAACCACCCATAACTTCTCAATATCTCCACTAATCCGGACGAGTTTTCAAGACCTTTCTAGAATAGCTTTGCTACAAATAATGAAAAAGCCTGGTCAATACAAAAGATTGTGCCCGAATATCATGCCCTTGAAATGGCCTGCAAAACAACGTTTTCTACAGATACCCACCCATAAATTCTCTATATCTTCACGGATTCATATAAGGCTCTATAGCTTTTCTAGACCAGCTTGCTCCAACGGACCGCTTTGGCCAGTCCTGGCCGTCTCTGTCCGAGTACCATGCCCTCGAAATGGCCCGCGAAACAACGATTGCCAATTGAACTTACCCATAACTTCTCAACGACTTCATGAATCGGAGATAACCTCAGAGGCTTTTTAGACTAATATAGCCCTATCGAACAGTGAGGCCAGGACAATCCGTGAAGTTTTGTCAGAGTATCATGTCTTTGGAAAGAGCTTGCAAAACAACGATTTTTAATTGATACCCACCCATAACTTCTCAGTATCAGACTTCAAGTCGCTTTCAAATAGTGGACTAAGATGCCAAATTTCCAGCCATCACGTTTTTCACCTTGACCGCTTCAACTCCACGGATTACTACAAAGCCGAAACAAATCATGGCATTTTCAGATACCAACTGCGAAATCTTCGAGGCTTGTGCTAGCAAACTACATAGAACTTGAATGAGAAAGCTTCTTCGGAGATGAAGTTAACACGTTTCGAACCGGTGCTGTACATGGTGCAGCACGCTGCTTTGAAGGATCTTTCTGACGTTTGCAGGAGGTTTTCTTTAAGTAAGGTTTCTTACTTTTCAAATGATTCTGTAGAGTTGTGCCGCCGATATTGTTTAGGAGATATGAGCACAAATCGAACAACAGTTCCAACGTGCGGCAACGCGATGACGCGTGCGACGTCGCAACTTTTCTTTGCTCCGATTTCAAAGAGATAAACCGTAGTTTCAATAGTGACGAGTACAATGTACAGCACAGGTACTTTTAGATACTATTTGAAACTGAGTTCTTGCTCCTATCCAAGAAAGCACAAGAGTCCCTCTCAAGCGACAAAATTCAAACGCTTCGTATTCACCCAGAACTTTATGTATGGAGCTTATCTGGCATGCTGATTACAGATGTAGTCCACAGTCGGCGAAATAAGATTCCTTTGCTGGCTAACGGCCGAAAGTGCTTTCTTTTTCGCCGCGTGCGATTTCGCGGTCCGAAACGTGTTAATGGAGTCAGGCACAACCATTTTGAATTTGGCTTGAATTCGATTTTGAATCAACTTCAATCACTCAATCAAATCAAATTGAATCAACCCACCACAGATTTTTGAACAACTGATGCCGAATTTGACATAATGTTTAAATATGATCGGAGCTGACGGGAAGGTAGCTAGGTGGATGAGATGGGGGGGGGGAGGGAAGGGGAGGGAGGAATTGTGTAGTGCAGGGCCTAGCACAGTTCTGGGATCAAACTGGACTTCGTTTCTGGAGGTGCAGGCAACAGGGATAAAGGTCTTGGGAGAAACCCCAAGCAAATCGAGGATGTCAGGTTTTACGAGTGTTCTTTCGTAAGCGCTCGAATTTTGTCGCGGATTGGGCCCCCAGCTCCCAACGTCAGTGGTAACGTGGCTCTCCTGCATCGACGAGGGGAGCCAGGGGTCCCATCTGGGATAAGATGAAGCGTACATTGTGGTGGCGTTACCTGTGAGAATGCGAATTCCGCCTGCCACATGACATGCCATGCAGCATAGAGGCCCTTGCCACCAGCCTACTTAGCAGTTACTCGACACCTGCGACTAGACTCATACTCCCAACTATCGACAGTAGAGGCGTGTACATATAACCAAGGCACTACCCGGGGTCGTGCCAGCCTTCCAACAGTTCTATCCCACTAGGCATGATTATAAAACACACACACAAATATTGATGACACAAGATATCCCCGGAGCCACAGTCGAGCTGTGGCTCACCGCATCAAAACAAACCACATACGTAAACCCACCATTTATCCACAACAATTCCCCAAACTCAAACACGAGGGTGGAGCACAACCAGCCAGATGTTAAACTAGGGGCCGACAATATCGGAAACCCCCCGTGTAGGCAGTTGGTCGGCGACACCGCCTGATACAGGTCGGCGGTGTCGCCGACCTGTACAAGGCGCCATCGCTCACGGGGTTACCTCGTCTGCGGGGTTGCCTGTCCTCCGTGGCGTGCTGGATGTAGATGACGCGTGAAGTGGGGAGGACGGCGCTGCATCGATCGATGGCATGGGAGACGAAATTGGGACCCAACCGCTCACCAGGTAACGATAATGACGACGCTGATTTGAAAGCTGCGGCAGTAGCGGTGGGAAGGCGGGAGCAGCGCGAGGACAGCGTCTCGGAACCCCTTCGCAGCGCGGCGGCCTCCTTTGAAGGAAGTCGCGAATCCGCGACAAATTTCAAAAGCAAGACTCAGACAAACAAATGGTTTGTTTCCAGCGCACAAACAATCACATGACTCTGGAATTGGGCTAATGTATACAATAATGCTCCAAACAACATTACGTAGAAAGTTCCAAGAACTTATGTGTCCTAGTACCCGTAGCCAACTCTGTAGACCAACACCAAACCAGCTATGTTGATTTGGAGCACAAATATCGGAGAGTTCGCATAAATTTTGGACCTTTTTGACCTGAACGATTAAAACGCATAAAAATTATCTTACAGTAAACAGAGCGAATCAAATCATTGCCTCTTCCTTTTTTTGAGAGGTGCCCTATATGGCCCTTCCCAACAGAGGCAGGGACCGTAATTAGGCTGTTCGTGTCGGGACCCGATCGCGATTTCCTCACTGTCCTTCAAAGTTTCATTCCCCGTCTCTGAGATTCAGTTGCTCGCGAATTCCTCGTTTTTGATATATAGTTGTAGGCACTTCTTCGCATTGGCTCCAGACCGATTTTCCTTGCAAGCCAAGTTATCTACCACATGTTAGTTTTGTCATTGTTCGCTGATAATACTGGTCTCTTGCATATATGGTCATGAAAAGCTCGATTATCTCATTGATTATCCGGGATAAGCCTTCTTCCTTTACCTTCCTTCTTTTCAGGCTATCCACCGCAGCAAGGGGACTCCTGGTCGCTAAGGCCAACCGTTGCTGGGCGCCCGCACCCCAATGCAGCCAGGATGTTATCCCCCACTAAAGTGGTCATCTTATGAAGGCAGCCACCAAATGCACTTGCACCAGAGAACAAGGACCGGGTGTTTACCCAGGTATGTTCCCAAAGTATGTATGCTTTGAAAATTTTGACGATTTTGTGTATGGAAAGTGCATTTTCTTAGGGTGTCAGGTTATCCTCACCTGCACGAAACCGCGTGTTGGCTATCCCTCAACCGCAACCTCTTCGGCTGGACACGGTTTATGCAGCCACTTCGCTGTGCATCAAGATGGGTGTTATTGATGGTGGTAGGTAACTTGTTTTCTCAGAAATTGGTCACTTTTGCCTTCTCAAAGTTGATAGTTAGCGAATGTGGAACAGGCCAGTGGTTGACACCCTTTTCTCGTACACACCCACTTTAGGTTTGTAGTGAAAATGAGTGCGCGTCTACTCGTGTAGTGATATAACACGGACAACCCTATGCATATGTAGCATTTTCGTGCTTGAGTAGGTATGCGATTGTAATGCGGACGTTTGTTTTCTCATCTTATATATAAAGCTGAATGTCTGTTTGTCTGTCTGTATGTATGTCTGTCTGTATGTATGTCTGTCTGTCTGTACGTATGTTCCGAATAGAAAATTCCATTTCTGAACCGATCCGGACCAAACTTGGCACACATATACTACGGGCCCCGGCGGGTGTCATAGGCTACTTTCGTCATCGATCGATATCGATTTTATCGATTTTTTGCAAAATTTGAGCTACAGGGCTGGGAGTTGGCACAGGGGGGTAATCGAGCATGCTGATTACGAATACAGTATTAGTTTTTAAAATCGTGCATTACTTTTACGATTTTATCGATTTTTTGCAAAGCTTGAGCTACGGGGCTGGGATTTGGCACAGGGGGGGGGGGTAGTTGAGCATGCTGATCACCCCCGTGGGGGTGATCAGCATGCTCGATTACACCCCTCTGCCAACTCCCAGCCCCGTAGCTCAAATTTTGCAAAAAATCGATAAAATCGACATCGATCGTTAACGAAAAGTGGACTGTGTCACCCGCCGGGGCCCGAAGGGTATGTGTGCCAAGTTTGGTCCGGATCGGTTAAGAAATGGAATTTTCTGTTCGGAACATACGGCGGAGCCGGGTAAGCCAGCTAGTCACAAATAATTTCGATGAACAACATCTTTTCTTACAGGTAAACTCTCACTGCGAAAGATGTGGGGTCTGCTCATACCAGTTTCATTGTTCTTGCTCCGAAGCCTACAAAGCCGGCGTTTCCTGCGTGCACTTACATGCTGTAGCAACTTTTGGTGGAAGAAGGTAGTAATAATCTATTCATTTTTTGAGATCGATACTTAAATCTAGCGTCCGCGCTTCTCCGACCTGTTCGACATGACCTGGCATCCAGCGAAACACCGCTGTTGCGTGAGAGTGCAAATGATGACAATAGCAAAGCCGGGTCGGAAGGCACTGGAACCATATCTTCAGAAAGCATAGACATTGCGGACGAAGGAGCTAATGAAAATGAGGAACCAAGAGACATACTAGAAGAAGATAGAACAAAGCAGGCGTATCAGCTTGTTGAGGGGGTGTGACTTGCCGCTGATTATAGTTTGCATTTTGAACATGTAATTTAGAGAATTTCCCATCTTTCGGAGTTGATGCGATGTTGTCGTAGAGAAGAACAGTACGAAGTGTTGGAAGAGCGTGCAAATGCGCTTCAGGAAGTCATCAATCTTATGCCTTCAAACCTTGGTTCCTTTTCAAGACGGCAAGAAATGCAAACCACGGGATCGGGGCCCAGACCCAAGCCCATACAATTCAAAAGTGAGTGAGTCTTTCTGCGAGTGTTTGCCATATAGCCTTGCTTTCAGAGAACAGAAGTACTGCGAGAGAAAAATTCAAAAAAAACATTTTCGGATGATTGGACTTTGCCGAATCAAGGTAGACTTTCTGCCTCTTTCAGGCTATTCCGGTTTTACTTATCTATTTATAAACCACATCAATGTCTTTTCTGTTTTTGAACTTCGTATTTCATACATTTGTGAATTGAGAAAATAGTCCACTTCTTTCGATTCCTTCAAACCGGCGTGAGCCACCTTGACACTGGCAAGTTTTAGTTCTCATTAGCCTAGATTTACCTTCTCAAGAATACTTTTAGCGCTGCCGTTACTGCTGTTGAAGTTTATAGTAAATTCACGGAGAAACAGCGAGAACAACTACGAGGCAATTTTACTGCATGAAACTATGTCTTCATTCATTCACACACCGCGTGGGCGATTTCCATATCTAGCAGGTCGGACTCGGCCAAAAAAAGGGACGAGATTGCAGACGTCGATTATTTGAAAACGTCCACAAATCCATTTAGAAGTGAGTGCTTTCTAACATCGACGACGTGCTTCTTGATATACGTGCATTCTCGGTTTACACCTGCGTTTTCGGCTTTGTTTCCTACTATTGTTGTCATCCTGTCTTAGTTCATGTTTGATAGGTAAATTTGAGTTGATCTTGATTGGGTTCTGTTTCAGGCTGAACTGAATATTCAAGGGATGCTTCACTCATGATCTATTTTTTATTTTTATTTTTATTTCATAAATACACTCGAGATGCACCAGAGAAAAGAAATAAAAGAAGATCCAAACAAACAATGAGACCAGCTAGTCCTCGCCCGCAAGAGAAGATAAAAAAAAAATACGGAATGAAACAGAACTCGAAGCTCTAGACCCAGCTTGTAAAGTTGAACGAAAGTAACTTGATCAAAAACGATCACATGAATCTTGCATACTCTAAAATAAAAGATGCCCCGTTTTTGGGTGTCAACGAGCCCGCCGGTAAGGCTAGCTGACTTGACCCCATTAAAGATTAATCTACCAGTGTTGCTTCCTTTCAATATTTGTTGTATTTGGGCAACTCTTTGCCACAAAAGTCCTTCTGAGACTTCATTCTTGTCGTAAATGTATGTTTTCATCTTATGCTTCCTATCAGTCTATACTAACTCAAATGATATTATCTCCATTTTCTAGGCAATTACTTTTTCTTCCTCCACCATTCATCGTCCCATCCCTACTCTTGAACAAATTCTGCCGTTGACAAATGCTGGATAGGCAAGAGTCTGCTTAAGGTTGGTTTGAGAGCAGTCTTCTTTTTTATTGTAATATAGGTAATACATGTTACAGTTTGCCTTTGCTAATTTGGAACGTGCAGCCTGGACAGCCCGTATGCTTCAGCCTTGACTGAGAGGAGTACCCTGCTTACAAAAACTAAATTTGCAGTGATCGAAATGCCGATGCGATGTTCTTTCTGTTGTTCTGTTCTGACCTGTTCTTTTTGTAGATTTTCCTCAAAATTGGTGCTTTCAGACCTTTGTGGGTCAATCATAACGATTTATCATTGTATGGTGTTATCATTGTGCTTTGCTTACACAACTGATGATTTCATTTTATGATGTACTGCATTGACCGATTGTGCTAATAAACAATGGAATGCCTTTGTCCGATTATTTTCCGAAAATGACTCCTCGGGCCTGAAGCAGAAGTTTACCGGAGTAGTCTCAATCACGGAACACTCACTGTTTTTATTCGAAATACGAGATAGATCGCCGTCAGCAGTGCTCAATCGATTTAAAGGACAGTGAGAAAATCGCGATCGGGTCCCGACACGAACAGCCTGCTTACGGTCCCCCCACGGGGGTGATCAGCATGCTCGATTACCCCCTGTGCCAACTCCCAGCCCTGTAGCTCAAATTTTGCAAAAAATCGATAAAATCGACATCGATCGATAACGAAAAGTGGACTCTGACACCCGCCGGGGTCCGAAGTGTATGTGTGCCAAGTTTGGTCCGGATCGGTTAAGGAATGGAATTTTCTATTCGGAATATACGGCGGAGCCGGGTAAGCCAGCTACTCAGACAATCGCCGGGGGCAGGCGGGCACCGGAAAAATAGATTGCTGATCTCTCACACCCCGCTCGCGGATTTTTTGGAAGGCAATCAGGACTTTTCGGAAGACCGGTTGCTGAGTTCTCGATTCCTCAGAGATTCAGCAATATATCTGCAAAAGATAAGAGCGAAAAAAATTCAACAGGCGGTCTCTCAAAAATCCGCTGACTCAGCGAGCGGTCTTCCGAAAAGTCCTGATTGCTTTGCAAAAAATCCGCAAGCGGGGTGCGAGAAATCAGCAATCTATTTTTCCGGTGCCCGCCTGCCCCCAGCGATTGTCTGAGTAGTATCCTCTCCTACAATATAAACCCGATCCCAAAAAACGAGACGGCGAGGATGGTCCGCCCACATGTATGCTTCAGCGGGTGTTTTGAATAGACGCCAGTTTCCGAACGGGGCCTTATTGTGTAGAGACGCGACGGTGCGATCATGAGGTCAAGAGGACGCAGAGGTCCTAGCGCGAACGAGAGGCCACGACACGCGGGGTACGCTCTGCTGCTGCAATGGGTGTGTTGAAAGACGCAAGCGCGTGCCAAGGGTGTTGAAATTGCGAGCTGGACATTGTTGCACAGTTAGTAGAAGCATACCATTTGATCCGCTCGCATTCGACCTCAGTATTCACTATGCTTCCACTTTTCCGCCAAATTCTGAGAAAATCTTCGAAAATCTCGCTTTTGGAAGCTTTTGTTCTGGGTGAATTCGATTTTTCTCTCCAGATTGTAAGCGTGAGTGCGAGAGTGACATTGCGAAAGGAAGCTGTACAGCGATGACTGGGGCAAGACAAAATTTTAGCACGATATGATCCACTTTACCGGCAAATTTTGAGAAAATCTCCCAAAATCTTGCTTTTGGGAGCTTTTGCTCTGGGTGAATTTGATTTTTCTCTCCAGATTGTAAACGTGAGTGCGAGAGTGACATTGCGAAAGGAAGCCGTACAGCGATGACTGGGGCAAGACAAAATTTTAGCACGATATGATCCACTTTACCGGCAAATTTTGAGAAAATCTCCCAAAATCTTGCTTTTGGGAGCTTTTGCTCTGGGTGAATTTGATTTTTCTCTCCAGATTGTAAACGTGAGTGCGAGAGTGACATTGCGAAAGGAAGCTGTACAGCGATGACTGGGGCAAGACAAAATTTTAGCACGATATGATCCACTTTACCGGCAAATTTTGAGAAAATCTCCCAAAATCTTGCTTTTGGGAGCTTTTGCTCTGGGTGAATTTGATTTTTCTCTCCAGATTGTAAACGTGAGTGCGAGAGTGACATTGCGAAAGGAAGCTGTACAGCGATGACTGGGACAAGACAAAATTTTAGCACGATATGATCCACTTTCCTCCCATTGAAAATATCTTTGAAAATGTTACTTTTGAGCGGTTGTGGCAATACACGTACTGATAAACTGAAATTTCACTTGAGAAAATTATAGGTATGAAAGATGTTTATTTTGGGGTGTGCCCTACCCGCTTGCTAGCGACCCGTAGGGTCGCTAGTCTTATATATAAAGCTGAATGTATGTTTGTATGTATGTATGTATGTACGTATGTTCCGAATAGAAAATTCCATTTCTAAACCGATCGGGACCAAACTTGGCACACATACACTTCGGGCCCCGGCGGGTGTCATAGGCTACTTTTCGTATCGATCGATACCGATTTTATCGATTTTTTTGCAAAATTTGAGCTACAGGGCTGGGAGTTGGCACAGGGGGGGTAATCGAGCATGTTGATTACAAATATATTATTGACAGAACCGGCGAAGCCGGGTTTGCCAACTAGTAGCAAATAAAATCCGGCTACAAGTTTTGAACCACTTGAGAGAGCTGTTCAAGAGCTCAAATTCGAAATCATGCGCTGAAGACTTCATCTTCTTGCAGTGCTGCGGAATCTATGTAGTTTTGGAATAAGAAGTCCAAGCTTCAAGAAAGAGGACTTATCTTTTAGATTTTGAAACGAAGAGGAAGAATTTTTCACCATGGCAAGCGAACTTCCGAAAAATTATTTGGAATTTGAAAAATATAGTATGACAGTTTATTCATAATGAATTTTCATACTTTATATCTTGTTGCTCGTCGATCCCTATCTCAAAGCACATCCCTCACTGTCCATTACTTGCATTTTCTAAAAACACTTAAGCAATACGCGGAAGTAAGTGTGCTTGCACTTGAACTCGACCTCCGATTGTTCGTCGATGAACAGCTGCTGCATTTCCTATCGATCTAGCTCGGGATAAAATACTGAAATTCCAACAGACAAACACCATTGGCTCATTACTCATCTTGACTTATTAGGTTGTAACGAAAGTTACTGGGTTTTTGCACTGCTATAGTTTCAAGCAAGTTGACCTTTTTTGGAAGCTGCAAACTTTGCTGCAAAGGGTTGTCTACAAGGTATGCGCATTTTATTGGGTCCTCAGCGCTTCATTTCGGGCCACAAGCATGCGCAGTAGGGAAAAAGGTCGACTTGAATTTTGGCCTGTTTATACAGAAACTTCTCCGGCACGAAGAGAGCTGCAGAGCTCATCCGGCATTATGTAGAACTCTAAGGCTGTTTGTAAACTGTGTCATAATTTTTGAGGACAGCCTGCAGCAAAAATTCTCTCGAAGAATTTTGAAAAATTGGCCTTTGCACACTGAAAATAACCCTTTTTGAGTAAGTGAGTTTGAAGTATTCCTTTTTTTTCACGGAATGTATCAAATCTTCGATTGCTGCAAATATTGTTGGGGTAATGTCTTGCACATCTTTGGGCATCGTCGAGGCGTGACGGTCCTCACAAAATCGACGCCGACTGCGAAAACCGGTTAAAGGCAAGTTTGAGAGCTTGTAATTTTTGTGCGCCTATTGTAAACTCCGAGCACAGCTGCATGAAGTGGACAGCCTGCTTATTCACATTGGCCAACCAGTAAATGGTTTTCTTTGTTCATCAGCAAAAAATGGCAGCAAAAAGAAAAATTTTGAAATCTTTGTCGTGGCACAGACCTTCTTTTTTGGTGTATAGATCAAATACGGCAGGATATCGATAAAAACTGGATTCGCGTCTGGAAAGCTTTAGGCTTTCTCCTACAGAACCATATAAAATATCTGTCGTTAAAATTCGACGAGTGCGAAAAAAATGAGTCTGAAAACGAAATTTTCAAACTGCTCGGAAACTTTCGTTACAACCAATAGTTTGCTGGCGGGTCTTGCCCAAACTGGTGAAATTGAACCACATCACTGTGAAACCCAGTGCTAAAAAACACCAGTCTCTCATGGCACCTTTGTACATGACCTCGTGCACGATAGATTCGGAAGGCCTATTCTTCTAGATCTGCATCAAGCTGATGTGTCCGGAGTTGCTGGTGCCAGCACGTTTCAGCGCCGTGCTAGCGCCGTGTTGGTCCACTCATAGGTTATGGCAAAGCGCTGGCAAGACGCTGATAAGGCTGACACAAGCAACTCTGGACTCAATTAAAAGTCGGAAGATGCATCGCATATGGGCTAGATTACCCTTTACCCTAGTCTATAAAAATGGAAGTTTCTTTCAAATGGTTAAATATCAGCGGATAATCACAATTAAAAGCTTCCACTTCTTTTTATAAGCTTCGTCACTCTCTCTCGGTGTAGTATAAGCAAGACCAAACCTATCCAACTATAGGTTTCTAGACGGTTGTTGCTATAAAAATAACTCACTAACCAGGGAAGGGTCCTTAGTCGTAGTAAGTGGCCTTTCCTACTGAGACGCAAACATTCTTTGAGGGTATTGGACACTGAGCTCAGATCTGATTCCCTTATTTGGGGAGAGCCTCGAGGAGGAGTTACGATTTATGAGTCAAAAATGTGAACGCCTGATCAGAGAGAATCAATCGTAACAGGCTGTTTGTGGCTTGCTGAGCTGTAGACCGGGATAGATATCTTTATTCGACTAACGTTTCGGCTATATCTTCTTCTTCAGAGTCAGAAATTGTTGAATGCATAAGTAACCTATTCTATCAAAAACCGCCTCAAGACTCAGAAAGACGCCCAATGCGTTAGTAAAACAAGTATTCATAAGTATGCAAGATTAAATCAGGTTTACCTAGAAAGATGCCGACAAAGTGGTGTTGCAGACCAGTGTAATAGTAACTAAGCATAAGCTCTAACTTCCTTGTGTATTTAGTGCCTGGCCTCAAGTTGACCTTAAAGGCCGCAAAGGCTCTGATACGGCACCAACTCATTAGTGATATCAGACCCCTTCTCGGGAGGCGTCCCCCTCCCGAGAAGGTGTCGCGAAGTTTTTGAAAGTTACTTCTATGGGTAATAAAAATGTGCAAGTGACTTGTTT